AAGATAAATTCCCAAATGAGGTCCGTTACAATAGCACCACCATATTCAAAATTTTTAAAAAAAAATATACCAACAATTGTTATTTCATTTGTACACATTTGTAATCCTGATATAAACATTTGTACACCTCCCCAAATGCCTCAAAAATTAATTTGTAAATAATAATAAAATTTGTATTAGAAAAAATTTCAATGTTTCACGTCTTGGTGAAATATTGCATGCTTTAAACACTAACCAAGAGTTATAAATTTTAGATTTATCAGTGTGATATTTTAACTGTAAGCTATACAATTTTCTTGCCATATATTGTAATTTTTAAGCTATCATAGTCTTATATTAGTAAAATAAAAAAAAAATCTCAACTACGATAATATCTATGAATTCTATTTCTTATCTTAAAATCTTTTAGAGCTTAGTGCTTACGGAAATTTAATTATAGTTATTCTAAAAAAAAAAGCGTCTGGAGGGGATATATCCCCCCCATAATTACGCCATTGTACTTGTCTATGAAATATGCTCCCGCCCACGAGAGAATCGCATACCTCGAAATAGTTTATACATCTATTGTCGCGAGTGCCGCTTGCCTTATTTTCTCCCAGCATAGTTTCATCTCTACTACTGATTGGCGTGTAGGTATACAGGGTAAAGAAACACATATAAAATACATTGCGTCATCGCGATGGTTATATTGTGTACCTAATACCTATATATTATAATATGATGTACGGTATTTTTTGTTATGAACATAATAGATGTGTAAAAATATTCGTCAAAAATACGTTATAACGTAGAAAATGTTTAAAAACAAATAGTGAAGTTGTTGTAACTGCTACTACACTTATACCTATATGAATGACCAATATGACTTGGTATATTAAGGGGTGACGGATGCGCAGCGACTGACGCGGTTTTATTGTCGTCATGTCATGGGTAGGAGTACATACATGTTTTTGGTGTCAGAAACATTGAGTTACGTGGGGCCAGAGTTGGACTAGCTTTATAGCTCAACCCGGGCAAAATAATTTCGAACGGCCTCAATGGAACTTTATAAGTAGGTAGGTACCTGATCAAATTATTGTTTAACTGAAAATGTATCTTCGTAACTCAAAAAACAATATTCAGACAAGTACATTTGTATATTTTCAGATTTAATGTAATACCTTAAATAAATCTAGTTACGCATAATATATCTTATCTATAATATTGATATAATGACCTACCTATTAAGATAAATTTTACACAATAAAAAATGATTTTATTTAAATATGTTTATACATTTAATTTTAATTGAGTTAAACAATGGGGTAGGCAACTAATGTCTCTTTTATGCGGCCCACAGTAAATTTCAAAACTAGCAAATGTCATTGAATATCATATACATTTTTTATATTGTCTGATTCTAGAACTATTTTTAATTTGTGAATGTGGCCCAAAGGTTCATTAAGGTTTGAAACTAGTAACAGACTTGTTATTGACTGAACGTCAAAACTATTAAAATGTTTTTAAATAAAAGTCTAATAAATCTTATAAGAATTATTATTATGGAAAAACAATTTCGCTATCGCTTTTTTTGTGCGACAATGTCTACCCATACCATGATCTTAGAAAATTAGTCTTCTAAGACCATAACCCATACCAACATTTTATTAAAATAAAATGTTGTTTGAACAAACGCGAACGGTACTTCGTATGATTAACATATTGTACACATCTTTTGTACTCAAATTTCCTACAATTTTTCTATTTATAAATATTCTGATGAAATCATTGTTATCAATTGGCCTATCATAACATTAAATATGTAAGGCACAGCTAAAACTTCCGAACCAATACATATGATATTTTGATTTAATATAGATACTTATTAGTTATTACTGTGTCTAGTCAGATTTTCCGAAACTAGCGTTTTAATTACATATGTATTCATTGATATGAATGTTCGGTACGAGCGTTTGTCGTCGACGGAATAGTCCGTGATTTTTGTTATTTTCTTCACATTAGATATTATTTATATATTTTATACGACGCCGGGTTATTTTGATTGTATATTACAAACGTCAACGGGAATACTCGAGCCACGACAGTTGTGGCCTTCCCGAGGAAAGTCGGGTTATATGGCTAGTATCTATAAATATATATTAATATTTATTATTAGCTAAATATTGTTCGATAGTTGCTAACAATATGTTTATTCTAAATGCTTATAGTTTAGCTATAAACGGACTGAGGAAGTCTCGTTGTTTTAACGTCATATATTGTACAGCAAGGTTGTCGTGTGTATACATTTTTATTGTTTGTCGAAATCAAAGTAGTGGATAAAGTTTTAAAACTTTTAATATATTCTTATATATAATTTTTTCTAATACAAATTTTATTATTGTTTACAAATAAATTTTTGAGGCATTTGGGGAGGTGTACAAATGTTTATATCAGGATTACAAATGTGTACAAATGAAATAACAATCGTTGGTACCATTTTGGAAGCCATAAGTCTACTGTACAAAAAGTGGGGTCCTGATGTAACGTTACATTAGCACCACCGCGGAAATTTTGTTTTTTGGGGCATTTGGGGAGGTGTACAAATGTTTATCAGGATTACAAATGTGTACAAATGAAATAATAATTGTTGGTATATTTTTTTTTTTTTTAATTTTGAATATGGTGATGCTAATGTAACGAATCTTCCCAAATAAAACTAGAAAAACCGTTGGATACATGAAATGCTTTAACACAGTCAGCACGAAAAAAGTACTTATTTTTAAGGGGGGGAGCGATTAACCTTCTTTGAAATGATTGGGGATTAAACAATGTATAATAGAAAGGTTTACAGTGTATTTCCTTTTAAAGGTAACACTAAATAATTCTGTCCAGTGACATCGGATTAATATGCGGTTTTCAGGAGGGGATAGGGAATACATAAATACACATTTTTTAATGATTTTTACATTTTTAGATCTTTCCGTGTGCGCATGCGCAATACAACTTGCATTTTTTTAAATGGCAACAGGTGTTTTGAATACCAAATTCGGATAGACCGAATTTTTTTAAGTCGATTTGGTCCTTTTTACCATAGTTCTAAAATCAAATTTGACTAAATGGCAACCAGTCAAAGTTTCGATTAAAATTATTGAATTTTTCACCAATCATACTAGAATTTTATGAATTATTATGAAATTTTATTTATTATTTTTGTATCCGTAGGTTTGTAGATATTATTAAATCATTTAAATTTAATTTTGAGGAATTAATTAACCTCAATTAGACGTAAATGTTAGTTCATGTAAACTCCAAGTATCTTCTCCCGGTAAGAGTACCATCGTAAAAATACGGGCCGAGAAGTCTCCCATCTAGTAACCCACACCAAACGTTAGTTTCCCAAACTGGTGATTTGTATCAGTCGTCCAGTATGGATTGTGATCAGCCCAATACCGATTATTTTGTTTATTAATTATACCGTTGTTGGTAAACTTTGATTCGTCGGTCCAACAGATAAATCGTAGAAAATCGGGTTCGTCGTGTAATTGTATCATAAACCATGCAATAAATGTAAGTTTACGATTAGAATCACCTGGTACCAACTTTTGTACTAAATCAGGCCTACACGGGTGCAATTCATTTTTTTTTTTAAATTTTTTGAACTTTTTTACAAGAAATTCCAATTTCGTTGCTTAAATGCCTAATCGAAGATCGAGGATTTAATTGAACATAAGCTAATACTTGCAATTCGTCCTGTTCGTTCACCTGTCCAATCAACTGTCTTTGATTACGTCAATAATTATCACCTCGTCTTGCAGGTAACCCACCACTATTTCTTAAAGATGATTCAATTCGGACAAAGTAATTGTAAGGAGGGTGATATTGTTCGGGATATCGTTCTACATAAAGTCTAGCGGCATTTCGTGAATTATGTCGACATTCACCATAAACTAAACGCATATCAACTTTTTCATTGTTACTTGCCATTTTTAAATTTCAATGAAATACTTGCGTTACATACGAGTTTAAAACTTGTAATGACTTTTAATAATCACATTTGCATCACAAATGCTAAAATTCATCAGTTATAATAAGTTATTATTGTCAGATTTATACGGACATTAAGATAATATCATTCTTAGCACACGATAAATAAATTTGGTTTATTTTAGTAAAGGCTACAAATAAAATAATCGTAGAGATTACAAGTAATTACCAAACTTGTATCATGAAAAAATAACAATAATTGATAAAATTAATAATTTAAATAGAAACTTTAATAATAGAAGTTATGAGAAATAAATCATATCATTTTGTTTAATCTTTTCTTACTTAGTAATTGAACTATCATTTACGTCTAATTGAGGTTAATTAATTCCTCAAAATTAAATTTAAATGATTTAATAATATCTACAAACCTACGGATACAAAAACAATAAATAAAATTTCATAATAATTCATAAAATTCTAGTATGATTGGTGAAAAATTCAATAATTTTAATCGAAACTTTGACTGGTTGCCATTTAGTCAAATTTGATTTTAGAACTATGGTAAAAAGGACCAAATCGACTTAAAAAAATTCGGTCTATCCGAATTCGGTATTCAAAACACCTGTTGCCATTTAAAAAAATGCAAGTTGTATTGCGCATGCGCACACGGAAAGATCTAAAAATGTAAAAATCATTAAAAAAATGTGTATTTATGTATTCCCTATCCCCTCCTGAAAACCGCATATTAATCCGATGTCACTGGACAGAATTATTTAGTGTTACCTTTAAAAGGAAACACACTGTATACCGTGGTTACTATAATACGATCTTGGGAGGAGGGACAGTCGCTTCAACCTCCACCCCTACATTACGTGCATGAACACAAGACGACTGGTAAATTCTTTGGTGATTTAAATTCTGAACAGTTGGTATTTTTTCGTTTGTTGGTCTTATCATTCTGAAAGAACTGTAATATACCAACCTACCATTTACCGAGTTGAAATCTGCATTTTAAAAATAAGATAACGTTATCAATGTGTGATAACAACACCGTGAAACAAATTTTATTTTTCCGTCCTGTAATTTATAGTCGGTATAATTCTTTGTCGAAATGAATCAAGCAGAGGTTTCACAATTAATTTCAAAGCTGAGGATACGCATCAGTCCTCGGCACAAGAACCTTAAGTGTCCCGAAGGACCGCAGGGGCGATTGAATAAATTACGTAAAACTGTCAACGCTTTGTTCAAATACGAACGTCTGGAATTAAATTATACGATAGCCGACGAAACTAGAGGATATGCGGAAAGGGTAACATTTGTTTGATTATTTTTCTTCTCACGGTTAGCTAGGATACACTGTCTTGTACCACTTTTGTTTAAGTCTTATTGTCGTTTAATTTTTTTTCTTAGTTGATATCTGAAGCAATTAGGCATGGAGATACACACAAACCAACCATGGAGATGGCTGACTATTGGATAGAGGAAAAACAGTTGATACACAAGTTGTTCAAAGTACTAGTACCACGATTCAGTGATTACAAGACATCATATACAATGTTGTACCGGGCTCCAAAAGCATATCCAGATATAGTGTACCCGCGTTCGGTATTAGAACTCAGAGGTATTTTAATCAGACACTAGGAATATTACAGTTAAATGTTTAATATATGTATTTATCATTCATATCATCTTTAGGCAACCCATTTCCATCTATATTGCCTCAGCGAATTGACCAAAGAAATTTTATACACAATATATTGTTAGAAGAAGCAAAGAAAGCATATAGGGCTGAAAAATATGAGCAGATAACCAAATCTCTTAATGAACAAGATGTGGTGGATAAATAGTTCAGTTACAAATGTATGTGTTCTATCTAAAAATAGTTGTTAATTAAGTGTTAAATAAATTTGATGTATTTTTATGGTGTATCCCATGTTATAATTACACATCATTTCTTGCAATATATTACATTTCTAAAAAATTATAAAGGAAATAACTCAATTGTAAAAAAATATAAACAAATTTTATTTATTATAACATTTCAAACATTAAAAAATTTTAACTATAATTATGCACCTGAATGAAACATATGTATTTTTTGTTCTGAAGTTAACATATATTTTGCTCTTTGAGTACCAACTACTGAAGTTAACATACATGCATCAAAATGTGAATAGAGTACTGTAATGTTACGAATACTGTTGTCATTGTCAATGATTGAATTACAAAGTTCACTGTAAAATCCAGCAATTGTAGGTAGTTGGTAAAAAACAATATTTTCAATCCCTCGAATTTTAATTCTATTGTAGAAATGGTAACGTTCAGAATACAATAAAATTTGACATTCGGCATGATAAAACAAATCCCTAGCCCTGGCCACCTTGCCTGGTTTTGTGTACTCACTAATTTGCACAAAACTGTAGTCTTCCGTTTTTAAATAATTTCTGATACATACATAATCAAAATAAGAGGGAACATAAATTAATACATGTTTTTCGTTAGAAGCTCGAAGTTGTGTAAGAATTTTATTTGTGAAATACTCAAATCTTTCTTTGATAGATTCAGTTGGTGTTTTTGAATTGAGTTTATGATAAAATTGTTTTATACTACAAACCACATGGCTTATGGTACCAGTGATAATTGGATTGATTACACTAACAGATCCTCCATAGTTCATACACCTGTTTTTTTGAATAGCCATCAAATTCGGAGATTTGCAAGATGAAAATATTATTGTTTGCCTATAATATTTGGACAATCCATTAATTGACCAGCTACGTACTCGTTGTAAATCTGTACCATGTGCTTCTTTTGGCTGTAGATGAAAATGACTCATGATGTGTAACACATGATCCCAATTCTGCATCAAAAATATCTCTGCCTGATCAAATATTAGCACTTCCACAGATGAGAGAAAATCATAATCTCGAGATGACTCTCCATCAGCACCAATTATCATTCGCAAACCGAGTGGCGATGCAATTATTATATCAGAGTTGTAAAAATTTTCATACAATTTCAAACTGCTTTTGGTGATTGCCATACCGATTCTGAATGCATCATCAATGTTCCCAACAAATGTTTTTTCAAAGTCTTCTGGTTTAGGATTTTTTCTTGGTAGCATTAATTCGTGACCAGTGAATTCTTCTGAAAATCTATTCTTATGCACCACGTTAAAATTCTCTTTAGGAGACAACAACGAAATTATCATATTTATGATTCGATATGCCGAATCTTTAAAAGGAACTAAAATCAATACCTTGGGCCTAGTAAGACCCTGATCTCGCATTTCATCTTCATCACCATCTTGTTTATCATTGTTTGCTACAACAATTTCTCGACTTTTAAGAACATGATTAACAGCGTGTAAACAGTAACAGTATCGCAATTCTTCAGCGTTATCGAAATTTCTCTCCGAGTAACTGAAATCGTGATACCTGGTTATTATCGACAGCACGTCCAACTGTAATTGACTGACATCCTTGACGGTTGACTTCAACTGTTTGTGTAAAGCCAATTTCCCAACGGCGTCAAAGACAACGGGCACTTCGGGCAATTTGGCGAACGGTCGGTTGTCTTCTAACGCCTTAACGCGACGGTTCAGGTCAACCACTGCAGTCAATTTCGGTCTTTTGAACATCATTTTGCCCAATTCTGGCCATTCCAACACAATTTCCTCCACGAGCGGAGGCTTGTCATTCAAACAGGTGACTAATTCCGGCGACAGATCGTAGGTGTAATGCGCCAAGAACGGATCGTCATCCATCACGTATATAATTTGAATGACTGAACGTTTCGTTTGAGATATTGTATAGTTGTCTATGTAGACGAAAACGATAAGTCGATAAACACGTGTGTCACCCGACCGTTATCAATATACGGCAATAGCAATTGTTATCAAATTTCTCATTAAACTTATTACTCCACGACCGTCACTTTATTTTGTAGCAACAATCACAACAACAACAACATCTATACCGATAATACTATCACTAAATGTTTTGACAATAATTGTGAGCCCGTTGAATATCTTTATTTTTTCGATGAAAACAAATTTGTGTTAATTATTCAAATTGATTTCCTTGTTTGAAACTCGACCGTGTTCGCTTGTATTGTATTTGTGTGTGTGAATGTGTGTAAATGTTTCAATAATTAATTGGAATAGAAATCACTTTGGAAAGAACACTTTACAAGATGAAAGAAGAATCGGATTTCATTTGCGATTCCGTGGTGAGGGTGAATCCACTTCATTACCAAATTTTTTGAAAAATAATATTAATCGTGTGAATTTCTTTTAGAATTTATTAACTGAAGGATGCCGTCTGTCCGTGAGAATGCACAGTAGCGATGACTGGCGTAAGTTGACCATTTACCATTGCTTCGTTGCATTATATGAAATAATACAGTACTTGTTCATTGTGTATTAGTTACCTGTTTATTTATTTCTTTCATCTATCTGTTTTAGCATTAGCAGAAATAATAAGTATCAAAGATGTTGGGATTATGCGATATTATTATGTTCACTACATCGATTGTAAGTGTTTTTTATGATAATAATTTTACTGACATTTATGTAATAATAGTATTTCTTTTTTTTACATTAAATTAATAATTTAGTTATAATTGTGATTTATAAAGTATCTTAATTTTGATTTTTTTTAAACTTAAATATTTTGTCTGTAAGACAAATATATAAATAATTATTCATCACTCAATACAAATATGTATACAAACTTATATATATATATTTATGTTTAAGAACGATTATTTCATCTATACTTCAATGTTATAAAAAAAAGAAAAATTCCACTTGAATTTATTGATTTTAAATTTAAAACTATGAATTTTTAATATATTATTTTTAAGATAGGTTTGAAATATGTATCATAACTAGTTGTAATATTTGAAGTTAAATTTCTTATTTTTTTACTAATAAAGAATTGTAAATAAGTTTTTGATTAATTAGGAGATGTACCAAATTATATTAAGAATACTTTGATCTAGAATATTAAAAAATGTAATTAAATTGGTCCTGTGTTAATCAATTTCTATTACTATTTCACACTAATTATATAAAACTTCTTATGTATAATTGTTTACTTCATTTTTAGACAATAAAAGATTAGATGAATGGGTAACTGAAGAGAGATTAGATACACGCAAAGTTCAATACCCTAGAAAAGATGGATTGACAACTGGCACAGCTGGTACAGGTGCTAGTACCCCAAATCGTAAAGCTGAAAATATTTCCATTCTGTCTCAGAGTAGACCAGCTTCTCCATTAAGTATCCCTCCTACTGTACAAAATAATGATGCTACAGTTCTATCCGCTGCATTACAGAAAAAGATTGCGAGGAAAAGAAAAATAGTTGACAATGAAGTACATTTAAATTAAATTAATTTTTTAAGTGAGATAATTTGAAACTTATAAAATATATACTTATCAAATAGGATTCCCAAGATTTGCCTACACCAACTCCACGTCAGACTGGTTCAATGGTTATGCAACACGATGATGTTGTCACTCGCATGAAAAATGTAGAAATGATTGAACTTGGTTTAAATAGAATAAGCCCATGGTATTTTTCTCCATATCCTCAGGTACGAAACATATTATATTTACTTAAATTCTTTGTCACAAATGTATTTTTAATTATAGGAAATGGTTAACTTGAAGTGCATATATATTTGTGAATTTTGTTTAAAATTCAAAAAAAGTAGAACTTCACTTTATCGACATAGTGTGAGTGCTATATTATATTTGTATATTTACAATGTCTAATCGTTAGTTCATCTATATTTAATAGATAAAATGTAACTTGAGACATCCACCTGGAACGGAAATTTATAGAAAAGATTCTATATCATTTTTTGAGATTGATGGCCGTAAAAATAAGTCATACTCTCAAAACTTGTGTTTGTTGGCAAAACTGTTTTTGGACCATAAAACATTGTACTATGATACTGATCCATTTTTATTTTATGTTATGACTGAATATGATTTAAAAGGATTTCATATAGTTGGATATTTTTCTAAAGAAAAAGAGTCTACTGAAGACTATAATGTTGCGTGCATTCTAACATTACCACCTTACCAAAGAAAGGGTTATGGGAAACTTTTAATTGAATTTAGTATGTACACTGAATTTAATATTTTCAAAAGTTTATTTATTTGTAATTATTTTAGGTTATGAGTTATCAAAATTTGAAGGTAAAACTGGTACACCTGAAAAACCTCTATCCGATTTGGGTTTATTGTCTTATCGAAGTTATTGGAGTCAGACCATTTTAGATATCCTATTGACTGTGAAACCAACACCCGATAATGAAAAACCACAAATCACTATTAAGTACATAATATAATAATCTATTACAGCTATACATTCTTATTTAATATATTTTTATTTATTTTTAGTGAAATTTGTGAGTTGACTAGTATTAAAAAAGAAGATGTTGTTTCAACCTTACAAATACTTAATTTGATTAACTATTACAAAGGACAATATATCATATCCATCAATAAGGATATAATAACTTCGCACATTGAATCGTTTCAAAAAAGAAAAATTCGAATTGATTCAAAGTGTTTACATTGGAATCCTAAAGATTGGTCAAAACGTGCTAAGTGGTAAACTATAGAAGGTTTATATTTTGCGAAACTATAACTAAACCATGTATTTTAATTTTTTACATATGAAATATATTTTTATATATAAGACACCTTAATGTTAGAAGTACTTCTTATAATAAATGTATAAAAAAAAAAAATAACTGGTTATTATTATGAAAATATTTAAATTTAAGGGAAACCATCGTCATCTTCTTCCGCCATCTCTTTAGCCAATTCCAAATCCTGTTGTTCGCGCTCACGGCGTTCTTCAGCAGATTCTAAATCCTTGCCATATGATTTAGGAGGATAACGCATAGCTTTTACACTATCATTATGCAAATTCAAACAGAATGAAATACGCTGATGGAAGGCAATCAATGGTTCTAGTGTGCAGTAAATGTCAATAGGTTCTTTGCTCTGCACATACCCATGTTCAGGATCAATTGTAGCTTGTATGACACCATCTCTAATAGCTTTTGAAATAATAAATTCAGCATCTTTAGGTGAGTCTAACCCAAGTTTTTCAGCAATATAATCAACTGAAATGCGCGAGTATGATAAGCCAATAGCTCTTATAGCAGTCTTAATGACATTGTGACGTAAACGAACAATCAACATATAAGTGTGATCGCTAAGGAAATTCTTCTTAAAGTTTTCTAGTGTTTCACTGAACATGGTTAAATCACCCAAACGGACAGATTGGGTAAGACGAAAATATGGTACCAAAGCCTTGCGTAGACTAGCTTGGCGAAATATATACCTTTCAGGAATGTCTCCCAATAATAACTCCACAGTGACAGCCAGCTTTTGTACAGTTTGCCTAAAACCGATGGCTGAATTTTGAGGTGCTTTACGTAAAGCCTGAACTAAATTTTTGTGTGCAACTGAATATTCAAGACGAGCAGCTTTAATGCGACCTTGATAGTAAAGGAAGCGAGCACATTCATTATTACTCGCTTGTTCTGGAAATACTGATTTTTGAACCAACTTATCAGCTTGATCATAAAGATTATAATGTAAATAATTACGTAATAAACAGTTAATGAGAACAGCTTGTCCTTCATAATCTTTTTTAAGTGTAGCCGTTCTAAGTCGGTTGTAAAAGAATCCTTTAACTTTATGTAGTTGGTCGGTTAGTTCATAACATCTCATGTGATAGAAATAAGCTTTAGCAGTAATCAAATCAAGTGTTCGTCGATTTTTGTCAATTAACTTCGCCATAAGAAGATCAGAGAACTCTACTGCCTTTTTGTAATCTTCTTTATCAATAAGTTGTACTAACACTAACAAACGGATATAACCATCAATCTCAGGTAATAGAACTCCAGTTGCATTTTTTCCTGTACGCATTTTAATCACTTCTGGTATATCAGTTGGAGTAGTGATATATGTTAACAATAAATCTTTGTCAGAAGCAGAGTGCGTGTAAAATCCATTGATGATGGACCAAAGAACAACAGCGTTAAGCTTGCGCCTGGTGACTGACCACAATCGCAAAACACGCAACATGAAACGAGCTTCTTTTGTTTGAACGGCCTTTTCAATCTGTCGAATATTATCTCTTATTTCTTGAACGACCGCGGCATCTTTCTTTTCTTGTGAATCCGATACATCCGTCATTTCAACATCGGGAATGGGTTCAACGGTAGTGGCCATTTCTAAAACGGTAAAATACATTCGTGATTATAAACATAAAATTCTGGTTTAGAAATATCTAAGACTTAACTGTACGACGTACCTGTAGATGTTTAACGATATTCTTTATTTAATTTGATAATAATTTACGAAAAAATGAGTTATAGACTGTATGTCTGATTCGACAATGATTATTATTGGTAGCTACAACCTATACATACAAGAAATCAAAAATAATTGCATGAAGATATATACGGTTTCGGACCAAAGTGATAAATTCTTGTTGGTTATAACTTCATGGATGTTAGTATTTACATTTGATCAATTTAGTTATCAGACATTTTATCGTTATCACCACGGTCTTAGAAGGTTAGACCGTGGTTATTACTGTTGTGTGTAAAATAAATATTATACCTCTTCGTCTTTGTGTCAACTATTATTGTTATTATTATTATTATTATTATTATTATTATTATTATTATTATTATTATTAT